TACCTACCTTGTGGCCAGTCCTAGAGGAGGTTCCATGCACTGCTGGGAAGAATGTTTATTATGGAACTGTAGGATTAATAGTTCTGTAGATATCACTTAGGTCCATTTGGTCTATAGTGTTGATTAATTCTGTTTCCTTGGGGATATTCTGTCTGGTTGATTTGTCCATTGCTCAAAGTGGGGTATTGAAATACAGCTTTACAATTGTATTTGATTCTATGTCTCCCTTTAGCTTCCTTAACATTTCTTTTAAATAGCCAGGTGCCCTTTAACTAGATGAATACACATTTATAATAGTTAAATCTTCCTGTTGAATTGATCCCTTAATCATTACATAGTGCCCTTCTTTGTCTCTTTAAACAGTTTTTGTTTAAAAGTCTATTTTGTGTGATATTAGGATGGCTACACTGTGGTGGAATGAGAAGTTTCTCATGCAACCAGCACACTTAAAGATCAGTGCTTGGTCATACATTATGTGGATGATATCTTACCTGCTCACAAGAATCCAGCAACTCTGAATGCCTGTCTAAGTGAGACAGTAGGAAATTTACAATTCCTGGGTTTATCTATTGCCACAGAAAAGGTACAACATTTTCCTCCCTTTCAATTCTTGGGTTATCAAATCTCCTCCCATATATCTCCAATAGGACCAAACCTAAAAGTGAAGCATAAATACTCACTTAATGAACTTCGGCAACTATGTGGCCAAATCAATTGGCTGAAGCCCTTCCTTCCCCTAACACCTGCAGAACTTAGACCGCTATACGATTTACTGACTAAGGGAAACAGCCCTTCTTCCAAATCACACTGACAGCCAACCAAAACCAGCTGAACAAGACTGAGACTCCACCTTGTTAGCAGACACACCTGCCCTATCATCCTACCTGAGGAACTTCCCATAGCCATACCTGTTACTGTTTTATGCCCCACTAGCTCTGGTCAGCCACTCAAATGGCCCACAGCTTGTGTGCGGTCATGCCATTCCTGATAACCATTATTCCTCATTCCTACCCCTATCTGAGCAAGCAATCCTGTGGTCTCTCGATTTGAGCACTGGTTAGTCAATGATGGGTAAGATCCCCTGGGGAACAACCTAAGACAGGCACAGCTGTGTACGGAGACCACATGGAAATGGGGTCAACAATGTTATGGCCAAGAATCATGCCTCCCGTTGCTCAAAAATAAATGAAAAGGGGGAAATGTGGTGGAATGAGAAGGCCATGCCAAGGTGGCCACTGGCAAGCGAGTGTCAGTTACTCAGGAATGGCTTTGAAACCCACCTGGCAATGGAGCCTGCCTGGCAACAGGCTGTGATTGGTTGGAGCATAGACTGCCCCTTGACCACATTGGCTGGTCTTGACTATATAAGATGTGATTCCAACCGTAATAAACAAGTCTGCAGGCTGCTTGCCTCAAGCCTACTTTCACCCGACTCCTGGGGTCTGTGTGCTGACTCCGCATCTCTTGCCCCCACCACGCTGCTCCTCTCAGAAATGAATACACTGCAACATTCTTGAGAAAGCAACAGCAACACTACACTAGCTCTTTTTGGGTTTCTTTTGGCATAGAATATCTTTTTCCATCCTTTCACTTTCAGTCTGTGTGCATCATTGTTGGTGATAGCTGTTTCTTATAGGCAGCAAATAGATGGGTTTTGATTTTTAATCCATTCAGCCAGTCTGTGCATTTTAACTGGAGAGTTAAGGCAATTTTCATTCAAGGTGACTATTGATAAGGAAAGACTTGCCCTGCCTTTTTCCAAAAATATTCCAATTTTTTACTTTGGATTTCCTTTGTACCTTTACTGGGAGTTTTCTTCCCTTAACTTCTTCCATAATGATGACCATGTTTTTGTGTTTCTGTGTGCAGCACATCCTTAAGTATCTTCTGCAGGGTTGGATGGGTGGTCACAAATTCTTTCAGTTTCTGTTTGTCATGAAGGCCTTTATTTCACCTTCATTCATAAGTGAGAGCTTTTCAGGGTGCAGTATTGTGGGATGACAGTTTTTTTTTTTCTCTTATGACTTTGAGTATTTCTCGCCATTAACTACTGGCCTGTAGAGTTAATTATGAGAAGTCTGCTGTGAGTCTAATTTCAGATCCTCAGAAAGTAATCTAGCATTTCTCTTGTGCACATTTTAGAATCTTTTTTAATGTTTTATTGTGGAGAGTTTGATTACAATGTGTCTTGAAGACAATCTTTTCCGGTCATATCTATTAGTTCTATGTGCTTCCTGTAATTAGATGTCCCTTTCATTCTTGAAATTGGGGAAAATTTTCTGTTACTATTTCACTAAAAAGTTCTTATAATCCTACGTCTCTTTCCATGCCTTCAGGAATTTCTAGAACCTGTATGTTGGTTCATTTGATAGTGATCTATAGATTCCCACCAGTGTTTTTTATTTTTTATTTTTTAAATTTCTTCTTCTTGTGTTTGGTCTGACTATAATTTCCTGTGCTTTGTATTCTAAATCAGATAATCTTTCCTTTGCTTAACTGATTCTGTTATTAAGACTCTCCATTGTATTTTTATCTGTTCTATTGAATTGTTCATTTCCAAGATTTCATTCTGATTTCTCTTTAAGATCTCAATTTCATGGGAACAGCCAGGACTCAATTCAATGTCCAGTGGGATGCCAGAAACTCAGGTGGCAGCTTTACCTGTTATGCCACAATGTAGTTTCCCATTTTTGGAGTTTTAGAAGCACTCTTATACCTCTAATTTTTTAGCCAAATTATTAAGACACCTGACCCCCACAATGGAGAACCTGGATTTAATTATCTATCTGGCTGTGACTCCTAACTCCAATTTAACACAAAATCAAACCCTGGAATACAGTGATAATAGCATAATTAATTGGATTCTTTCTACCCATATAGGAGCCTAAGATTAAGTTTCTGGTCCTGTCTTCTCCCCATTACAGGTAGTTGGAGAGTGAACCAGTGGATAACATGGGAGCTATCTCAATCTTTTTTTTTTTTTGAAGGTTTATTTATTTACTTGAAACTTGGAGTTACACACAGAGAGAAGCAGAGGTAGAGGCAGAGGCAAAGGCAGAGGCAGAGAGAGAGAGAGAGGTCTTCTACCTGCTGGTTCATTCCCCAATTGGCCACAATGGCCTGAACTGTGCCAATGGGAAGCCAGGATCCAGGAGCCTCCTCCGGGTCTCCCATGTGGGTGCAGGGGTCCAAGGGCTTGGGCCATCTTCTTTTATTTTTTTAACTTTTAATAAATATAAATTTCCAAAGTAAACCTTGGATTATAGCAGCTTCCCACCCCATAACCTCCTTTCCACTCACAACCATCCCATCTCCTACTCCCTCTCCCATCCCATTCACATCAAGATTCATTTTCAATTATCTTTATATACAGAAGATCAATTTAGCATATATTAAGTAAAGATTTCAACAGTTTGCAGCCACACAGAAACACAAAGAATAAAGTACTGTTTGAGTACTAATTATACCACTAATTCACATCGAATAACACATTAAGGACAGAGATCCTACATGGGGAGTAAGTGCACAGTGAATCCTGTTGTTGATTTAACAATTGACATTCTTATTTATGGCATCAGTAATCACCCTAGGCTCTTGTCATGAATTGCCAAGGCTATGGAAGCCTCTTGAGTTCGCCAACTCTGATCTTATTTAGACAAGACCATAGTCAAAGTAGAAGTTCTCTCCTCCCTTCAGAGAAAGATGCCTCCTTCTTTGATGACCTATTATTTCCTCTGGGATCTCACTTAGAGATCTTTCATTTAGGTCATTTTTTTTTTTTTTGCCAGAGTGTCTTGGCTTTCCATGTCTGAAATACTCTCATGGGCTTTTTAGCCAGATCTGAATGCCTTAAGGGCTGATTCTGGCTATCTCAATCTTAATCTCTGAGTTCCTGCTTCCCAGCTTTTGCCTGGCCTAGTCCCAGCTATTGTGGGAATTTGGGGAGTAATCCCACAGATGCACAATCTCCCTGATTCTCAAAGAAAAAAATATATGATTAAAAAGCCCTGAAAGCTGGCACCGCAGCTCACTTGGCTAATCCTCTGCCTGCAACACCGGCACCCCGTGTTCTAGTCCCAGTTGGGGTACCAGATTCTGTCCTGGTTGCTCCTCTTCTAGTCCAGCTCTCTGCTGTGGCCCAGGAAGGCAGTGAAGGATGGACCAAGTGCTTGGGCCCTGCACCTGCATGGGAGACCAGGAGGAAGCACCTGGTTCCTGGCTTCGGGTAGGTGCAGTGTGCTGGTCATAGCAGCCATTTGGAGGGTGAACCAAAGGAAGGAAGACCTTTCTCTCTCTCTCTCACTATCTAACTCTGCCTGTCAAAAAAAAAAAAAGCCCTGAAAACCAACATGTGAAATTTTGCCCAGTTTGTACTTCTAGTGTTGATTTATATTTTTATTCCATTACACTTAGGGAATGTGCTTGGTACAATTCCAATTTTCTAAAACTATTTGAAACTGAATTTTCTGAACTACAGGTGATCCCACCTGAAGAATGGTTAAGAACATGTGATCTGGGATGGGTGTTGTGTTATAGATTAAGCCACTGATACTTCTATTCCAGCTCATCGCTAATGCACATGGGAAAGCAGAAGATGCCTCAATTCCTTGGCCTCTGAATCCTTGTCAGAGACCTGGAACAAGCGCCTAGCTCCTGGCTTTCACCTGACTCATTCCTGACTGTTGTGGCCTTTAGGTGAGTGAACCAGCAGATGGAAGATCTATCAATTTATCTCTTAATCTCTTTCTCTGCAACTCTGTCTTTCAAATAACTAAATAAAATTTTTTTTAAGTGTATGTGTTCTGATGCTGTCAGGTAGAAGGCTCCTTATATGACTGCTCAAAAAGTTGATCTACACTGTTGTTCAAATAGACTATTCTGTCAGAGTCTCAAGCCCAATGCTAGCCCCTGACCAGCAGGGGCAGCGCAAGCACACCCCAACAAGGCAAATGGGAGGGGTAAGGTCGACGGGTGATGAACACACCACAAGCACCCGTGAGTTCTGTGGAAGCAGGAACCACTTTATTGAAGAAGTATGCAGGCTTATAAAGCTTACAAAAGACATGGGCAGTAGGGGAACCAATCAGCAAAAAGGTCATGCAGGCATGGGTGGACCATGCACAGGGGCATCTTAAGCAAAGTATAGGTATCACGCGCTGTCCACGTATCCAGAACTAAAGCAGACCTATCCCTGCTGGTGGTCTGATCAGCAGCTGCAGACACGCCCCTCGAACATCTGCCAGGTGCCATATTGTAATGGAGATTTTAAGCAATGCCCAAGATTTCCCCCTTTTTGTTTTATATTAAAGAGAGGAAGAGGAACTGAGCGGATAGGGTGCCTGTCTTAGGTTGTCCACTCTGACTGGTAGCAGCCTTTTAGGGAGCATGTCTACCTTAGGTTGTCCCCCTCTGGGGATCTTACCTATCTTTGACTACTACTCCAGCTGTTAAGGGCTGCCCCAAGGGGATCTTACCCATCATTGGCTACCACCTCAGCAACTCAGAGTCTGATGTATTATACCTCTTCATCTTGGCAGCGGCCATGGGCAGATGTATAGGGTTTCCAATCTGGTGCTTGAAGAGCAGCATAACCCGGTTCTTAAAGAGTGGCATATTGTTGTCGGACCACCATTAACTGGACTGCAGTGATGCAATCTTGGACAAATTTACAAGGACAATGGAGACCAAGGGGCCCACAATGGGGAGGAGATAAGGAAGCCATCCCCCAAGCCCCGACCACAGGTAACTAGAGCTTCAAGGTCTTCTTGGAGGGTCTTTATCTTGTCCTTAATGATGCTGGAGCAATTAGCATAAAAGCAGCACTCCTGATGTACCATGATGATCCAGTCACAATGAGACAGAGAGTCCAATACGGTCTTTTCATCCCTGTAAGAGAAAAAGAAAAATCACTCCTCAGGAGGGGGTCCTCCTGGGTGACCTTCTTTGGCAGGGTACCCATATGGGATTAGAATTCCCCTGAGGGAAGACACATCCAAATCCTTTACTAACACTTATCAGTGGGTCTGGTCCTTGCCAGCATCCTGTCAGTGGGTCTGTCCATTTTACCCTAACTGAAAGGTAGGATACTTGGAGGGACCAATGTTTGTGAAAGGCTGACAAGGGCTGATGTTTTGGAAAATTTAAAATATGAGCATGGCCATTAGTAGCTGGTCTTGTGGGGGTATGATTCCCCCTTTTTGTTTTATAAGTTTTTTTATAATCTTATTTTGTTTTTTGATATGTTTAACCTGAGCATTTTAACCAAGGCTGTGGGCTAGATCTGATCAGATTTAAGGTAATCACTCAAACATTAAAGACAGGCAAATCCAATAAAACATGAAACCTTCAAGACACGTGCAAACTCTCATCAGATAAGTTAGCTATAGCAGCACAGAGAAGGGCTGGTTATAAGTGTAGGAGCCCATTGCTTAGGACAGGGAACACATCTTGACTTAAGGTTTCTGATTGGCTTAAAGGAACAGTCAGGCATGTCTTTCGTATTCACCTGTGAAGACTTAAGAGGTAGAAGTTTAATCCAAATTTCACGGAGGTAGTCGTGTTCTCTAGCACCTGGTAAGGTCCCTTTTATTTAAGCTGAAACTGATCTGAAGAGGATCTTCTTATGAATGGCTTGCTCAGGAATTTCTAATGTTAGAGTTTTTGTTAAAAACTCCTTGATTCCTTGGAACACCTTTGAGGCTCCCCTGACCAACACAGTGTCTGTTTCAGAGGCTTTTAAGCAAACACAAGGCTTAGAATACAAATCCTGGACTCCATAACAACTTCTGTAGTTACCCTTTTCAGTACAGAGTCTACATCAGGGCCTCTTTAAAGCTATACACAAAAGTTTGAAATACAAATCTTGGAATCCAAATTCCATAGAATCCTGTCATCAGTAATTCCCAATAACAGAGCTTTTATTTAGAAGCTCCTTAGTTCTCTGGAACAACTTTGCAGCTACCCTTTTCAGTGCGGAGACTGCATCAGGGCATCTTTAAAGCTACATGTGAAAGCTGGGGATCCAAATTGTGGAGTCCAAAGTTCACAGAATCGTGCCATTCTCAGGAATCTCCTTGGCTGCCTTTAAATATCTGACCCTATGTTATGGCCATGCCTGCGTGGGTGCAGCAGGCCACATTGACTGGAAGAGAGTGCAGAGAAAGGCTGTGGTCCCCCATTTACAGGGAAGACTGCACAGGCTGTGGGGTTGGGTAGGTACACTGTTTACAAGATGGCAGTGGGTGATCCAAGGGAGGGGAATACCCTTAAAGGGGTGACCACAGGGGTGGTACAAGGCCAAATGTCCCCTCTGTAATTGGAGGCATGGTGGGTTGAGACAGCACTAGGCCTTTAGGGTTTGCCACCACACCTGAAGGCTCTACCTGAGTTTCAACTGCCTCTGGGGATTTATGAGCCTTCTGACATTCCTCATTAAAGGCCACCCAGCCCATCTGTTTCATATCAACCAGCTTAGGTGTGCAAAATTTTTTGTGTGGCTATAAGCCTTGAGTCTTTAGTATGTATCTCAGTGCCTTAGACACTGGGTCCTCAAACTTAGCATGATATTGCCCCATCCTTTCAGGGATACCTTACCTCGAGAGCCTCGCTTAGCCATGTCCGCCAGTACTTTCACTTAAGCCGGAGTCAGTCCTTCTCTCGGCCAGAGTCAGTCCTTCTTTAGGGCTCTTTCGAGTCCATCGTGCCCCACATTGGGCACCACTTGTTGGGGTCTCAAGCCTGATGCTAGCCCCTGACCAGCAGGGGCAGCGCAAGCACACCCCAACAAGGCAAATGGGAAGGGTAAGGTCGACGGGTGATGAACACACCACAAGCACCCGTGAGTTCTGTGGAAGCAGGAACCACTTTATTGAAGAAGTATGCAGGCTTATAAAGCTTACAAAAGACATGGGCAGTAGGGGAACCAATCAGCAAAAAGATCATGCAGGCATGGGTGGACCATGCACAGGGGCATCTTAAGCAAAGTATAGGTATCACACACTGTCCACATGTCCAGAACTAAAGCAGACCTATCCTTGCTGGTGGTCTGATCAGCAGCTGTAGACATGCCCCTCGAACATCTGCCAGGTGCCATATTGTAATGGAGATTTTAGGCAATGCCAACACTATTCCTTACTGATTTTCTGTCTGGTAGTTCTGTCTTTTCTTGGAAATTATGATTTGACATCTCTTTCTAGTTATTCCATTGCTATCTGATTCCCCTTCTAATGTGTCAATCTTTACATTGACTATTACTCATCACAGAATAATTCACTACAACCTAGATTTGGAAGAAATGTCCCTCTAATGATAAACTTGTGAAGAAAACATGCACACAGTGGGATTTATTGCAGCCATAGGAAAGAAGAAATTCCTTGACATGGATGAACTTTTAAGACATTGAGGGGGGCAGAGCCAAGATGGTGGAATAGTGAAGGCGCACACCGATAGTCCGGGAAAATTTAGCTTAATAAAAGGGGAGTTACAGTAGCCTCAGAAAAAAGAACCAGGAAAATATTGCAGAGGAAACCCTTCTGGATTGAGGGGTCATGAATCGGAGGACCTACTGGGAGAACAAGGTCGCCCACCACGTGGAAGCCGAGCCGCGGGACCGAGCCGCGGAAGCCGAGCCGCGGAAGCCGAGCTGCGCAAACCGAGACGCGGGACCGAGCCGCTGGAACGCGAGGTGAGCCAAACCTCAATAGCCCGAGACACCGGCAGGCAAGCAGAGAGAGGAGACTAGAGGGAACAACCCCCGGGGTGGGGAACTTCACCAGGCTAACTGGAAGAGAGAGAGGAAAAAAAAAAAGGTGACTGGCACGGACACGGGTTTCTCTCTCTCCGCTCACCTCTCAAGGGCGAGCAAGACAAAGAGCAGGCGCCATCTTGGACATACGTCATAAGCAGAGCGACCTCAGGTCTGCACCGGCCCTGAGCCTAGCAGAAAAACCTGACTCTGGGCGGGGCGAATTAACAGGAGATTAGGACCTAGTAAATTTGTGGTGATACTGAACCGAGACTGTGAAAAAAGAGACGGTGGGGGAGAGAACTCACGGAATTCACGTGAGCACTCTCCAGAGACGCTATAATTCCGTAACTTTGGCAACCCAGTGGGAGACTGAAGGAGAATTTGAGCCCACTCTGAGGGCCGAACAGATTCCCTGTGTGGTCCTTGGGAAAGAGCTTCTGATCTCTGGCTCCTGTGGGTATATCATTTGCCTGCTAACTACCTCCAACTTCGTTCAGCTGTGCAGAATAACTTCCCTTTTGAATCAAAAAAAAAAAAGAAAGAGAGAGAGAGAGAGAGAGGTTTACCATGCCTAACCTGGGAGTGTCACCTTTGGCACACCAAACAGAGCTCTCAGGCCACACCCATCTCAAGCCCTAAGGCTCCATCAAAAACAGATAGTCCACTTAATCTAGAGTCATAGTATAACAAGAAAAAGCACCACAGTGAAGAAACCAAATATCTCCAATATGCCAAATAACAAACGCAAAAACCAAGGTAATAAAAACAAGGAAGTCACCATGACACCCTCAAATGAAAAAGACACCCCAATTCAAGATTATGAGGATGATGATATAGAAGAAATGCAAGAAGCAGATCTCAAAAAATTGATAAGAACATTAAGAAGTTCTCAAAAACAAATTCTTGAACTACAGAAATCCTTAATGGACAAGATAGAAAATCTCTCTAGTGAAAATGAAATATTAAGGAGGAATCAAAATGAAACGAAACAACTAGTACAACAGGAAACTGGGATAGTGACTGAAGTGAAGAATTCAGTAGATCAAATGAAAAACACAATAGAGAGCCTTATAAACAGAATGGGTGAAGCAGAAGAGAGAATATCGGACTTAGAAGACAGAGAACAGGAAAGGATACAGTCAGACCAAAGAAAAGAAGAGGAAATTAGAAATCTAAAACATATTGTCGGGAATCTTCAGGATACTATTAAAAAACCCAACATTCGGGTTCTAGGAGTTCCTGAAGGCATGGAGAGGGAGAACGGATTAGAAGGCCTTTTTAGTGAGATATTAGCAGAAAATTTCCCAGGTTTGGAGAAGGACAGAGAAATCCTAGTACAGGAAGCCCACAGAACCTCTAATAAACACGACCAAAAGAGATCCTCACCACGACACATTGTAATTAAACTCTCCACAGTGAAACATAAAGAAAAGATCCTAAAATGTGCAAGAGAGAAACGTCAGATTACTCTCAGAGGATCTCCAATCAGACTCACAGCTGACTTCTCATCAGAAACTCTACAAGCTAGGAGGGAATGGCGAGACATAGCCCAGGTACTAAGAGAGAACAACTGCCAGCCCAGAATATTATATCCTGTAAAGCTATCAATTGTGAATGAAGGTGAAATAAAGACTTTTCATAGCAAATAGAAATTGAAAGAATTTGTTGCCACTCGTCCAGCCCTGCAAAAGATGCTTAAAGATGTGTTACACACAGAAACACAGAAACACGGTCATCAATATGAAAGAAGGTAAAGGAAGGAAACCAAGGAAGGAAAGCTCACAGCAAAAGATCACAGGGAATTCAAAGCATATATTAGAACTTATCTTTGGCAAATGGCAGGGCAAAGTTACCACTTATCATTAGTCACATTGAACGTGAATGGCCTGAACTGTCCACTTAAAAGACACCGATTGGCTGATTGGGTTAAGGAACAAAACCCATCTATTTGCTGCTTACAAGAAACTCATCTTTCCAACAAAGATCCATACAGACTGAAAGTGAAAGGCTGGAAAAAGATATACCATGCCAACAGAAATGAAAAAAGAGCGGGCGTAGCCATCTTAATTTCAGACAACATAAACTTTACCACAAAAACTGTTAAGAGAGACAAAGAGGCACACTATATAATGATTAAGGG